AGGGAAGCTCAAAGCCCCCCTTTGCCACAATGTCTACACCCCACACCACCACAATGCTATACCAAAGCCAGGAAACGGACACTGGCACGACTTGTTCAGGTTTCACGGTACACGTGCACTCTTGCGTGTGCATGCGTGTAGTCGTGTGCAGTTTTGCGGGCGTGGTCTTTAATAACTACCAGCGCAGTCCAGATCTGCACACCTCGTTTTGTGCTGTGGCAAACTGAAGGCTGCAGCAGCCCTGAGCCGGGCAAGCCTGTCGCCCATTCTCCCAACAGCAGGCACTCACGTTGTGTCTGCCGAAGAGACAGAGAGATAGAAAACGAGAAATCACCCCCCAGGAGAGATAGCCATGCTGCAATCCCTTCTCCTCCTTTCTTCTCTCAGGATCGTGGGCATGCACGCATGCACATGTGTCCGGTGTGAGTTTTAAGCTGCCTGGTCCGGGACTTAAACCATGGTCAGCTATATGGGAGTCTAGCAATATAACCATTACGCCATCTGCTGGTCTCTAATTTTTATTTTAATAATAATAATAGATTCACAGGATATTGCAAAGAAATGTACAGGGAAGCTCAAAGCCCCCCTTTGCCACAATGTCTACACCCCACACCACCACAATGCTATACCAAAGCCAGGAAACGGACACTGGCACGACTTGTTCAGGTTTCACGGTACACGTGCACTCTTGCGTGTGCATGCGTGTAGTCGTGTGCAGTTTTGCGGGCGTGGTCTTTAATAACTACCAGCGCAGTCCAGATCTGCACACCTCGTTTTGTGCTGTGGCAAACTGAAGGCTGCAGCAGCCCTGAGCCGGGCAAGCCTGTCGCCCATTCTCCCAACAGCAGGCACTCACGTTGTGTCTCTGTGTCAAATTTTGGTGACTATCAGAACATTAATATTTCGAACTTTTAACTTAATATTGCACCTGTCAGGGTGATGTGTGCTGGTGATCTTTGGCGTTACGGTTGTGCCCAGAAGGATGGCCAGCATGAGTCAGTAAGTGTGGTGTGTGTGCCGACCGTTCTGCTGAGCAGCTACTCCCTTGTCTCTGGTCCTCTCTGCCTCCCTATTCGCTGAGACACAACAATATCGGAATTAAGTCAGTTAGTAAGTCTACCATGGCTGTCAATTGTTCGGGTGGAAAGAAGAGTTGCATTTCTCCCTCTCTAAATCAAAGGCTAGACACGAGTAAGCTTCCTGAGGAAGGTACTGTGAGAACCAAGCCAAGCCAGAAGGCTAGCCCTCTAGTGTCAGTCAGCCAGTTGTGAACACAGGAAGTTCTGGAAGGAAACCAGAAGTCCTGCTCTAGCTATCACGTAAAGGTAAGAAGGCAGATCGGGACCAGCAGATGGCGTAATGGTTATACTGCCGGACTCTCACTTACTTGACGGGGTTCAAGTCCTGGATCCGGCAGCTTAAAGCTCACACCGGCACGTGTGCATGCGTGCCCAAGATCCCGAGAGGAGAATGGAGAAGAAGGGATCGCAACATGGCCAACCCCCTGGGGGGGGTGATTTCTCACTTTCTAGCTCTCTGTCTCTCAGCAAGTGCATATGCCCTATAGCAAAACTCTCTCTGGAGAAAAAGAAAGAGAGACAGAGACAGAGAGAGAGAAAGGAAAAGAAAAGAAAGAAAGACAGCCTTATGCTGATATGAACAAAATTTTAATGGTCTGGACAGATCAAACCAGGTACAACATCCCCTTAAGCCAAAGCCTTATCCAGAGCAAAGCCCCACTTCTTTTCAATTTTATGAGAGCCAAGAGAGGGGAGGAAGCTGCAGCAGAAGTCTGAAGCCAGTGGAGGCTGGTTCCTGAGGTGTAAGGAGCTGCCCCTGTACCCCAGTGTCGGGTCAGACAGCAGGTGCTGGTGTGGAAGCTGCAGCAAGTCCTCCAGAAGCCCATGGATCGAGGAGTGATTTTGACTTTCAGGTGTTATTAATTATTGGCTAAATACATTTCATAAGGCATAGCTGCCATAAACAGTGATTTCTCCGATGGATCTGGGCAAAATCAACCGAAAACCTCTGGAAAGGACTCAACATTTGTGATTCGTGGGAGGAAGTCCGAATATCCTTGTTCACAGAAGTTCGGGAGGCCCTCACTCCAGCGCTCCCAGATGGCTTTGCGGCACCGAGGGCTTCGGTGGAGCCTTCCTCTGCAGACGTAGAGGGAGTCGCAAGAGGACTCGATGTAGAAGCGGAGCCCGAAGATGTGCCTGGACTGCTGCGATCTCATGATAAGCCGAGTGAGTGTGTGAGCAGTCGACGCCTACGGATGAGTAAAGCAAGTGGTTTCTTGATGGCGGCTCGTCCCGTGGAGATGCCACAAGCTCTGTGGCAACGACAACGACAGGGTTAGATGGTGTGCACACTGGGCTGAGAGTGCGCAGGTGTGAGAGGGCTGCTCCAGCTCCGGAAGTTCTGCTGTTGGTAAGATGCCGTGGAATAACATCACGTGCTTCAGAGAACTGCAGCGGAAGGAGGCGTCACCCAGTGAGACGAGCTTGGTTCTTGTCTTATTCTAAGAAATGGCCAGTTATCCCACACCTGCGGCCTACACCCTGGTCAGTGGGCAGCCGTCCCCGCGGAGGCGAGACCCTCGCCAGCAGGACAGATTATGACTCGCTTGGAGGCACAGGTGATGGTTATAACATTTTATAGCAGTGAGGATTATTTTTTTTGAGAGTTTTTTTTTTTTTTTCCACTGTAGGGCGCGTGCGCTCGCCAGACAGACAGAGAGACATAGAGACAGAAAGCAAGAAATCACCCCCCAGGGGGGATGGTCACGCCACAATCCCTTCTCCTCCATTCTCCTCTCGGGATCTTGGGCACACACGCACACGCGCCCGGCGTGAGTTTTAAGCCACCGGGTCCGGGACGCGAACCGCGGTCGACTACGTGGGAGTCCAGCGACATAGCCATTACGCTAACTGCTGGTTCCCGCAGTGAGGATTTTTTTTAGAGAGAAATTTTTGCTATAGAGCTCACGTGCTCACCAGAGAAACGGAGAGAGAGAAGGTGAAAAATCACCCTCGGGGGAGGGATGGCCCTGCCGCATGCCTTCTTCATTCTCCTCTTGGGATTTTGGGCAAGCAGGCACATGCACGCAGTGTGAGTTTCAAGCCACTGGGCCTGGGACTTGAACTGCAGTCGGCCACATGGTAGTCCAGTGCCTTAACCACTACGCCACCTACTGGCCCCGAAGTATTTTTTTTAATTGCCAGAGAGTACGTGTGCGCATGAGAAAGAGAGACAGAGACGGGCTGGGGGAAGCTCACACTGGGGCTTGGTTATGCCACAGTCCCTTCTCCTCCATTCCTTCCTACTGGGATTTGGGGGCACGCAAATCCCTGGCATGTTTTTCTAGCTGCCAGGGCTGGGGTTTGTCACTCAGAGGGTGCGTGGGGTCAGCTCCTTTAACCATTAGGTGATTGGACTGGCTCAAGGTACTTCCTTTTTCTCTTCTCCACAGAACGTTTTCATTTCAGTATGCAAACTGCGAAATGGCAAGTGACTAAGCCAGTCATAAAGAATTTGCGCTGTAATACATGCTAGTTTCCATAGCCGTCAACCGACTGCACCCAAGCCTTAAAGTTACTGCAGTATGGAGGTCAAACGTAATTCTTCCATGCGACCAGACTTTGTTTACTGAGTAACACAGCCAGAAACCAGAGGAGGAAAACCGTGAATGTGCGTCTTACCCTGTTTGGCTATAGTTGTGGGTATTGGGTCTCCAGGTGCCTAACAGGTACACTGTGCTATAAGGCAGGCAAGTGAGGTAAGAGCCCATTTTTAAACGCAGAATATTCTCCTGCCGCAGTTGCTCACTCACTGTGATTATTATATTACCCGGTAACCTGCAGGTAGTTGTCAGCATTTCCAGATCAGAAAACACAGCTGGACTTCCCATTGCTGTTTTTCTCAGGTTGAGGCTTTTTTAAAACAAAACAAAACAATGACAACAAAAATTTAAATATTCGTTGTGACTTTCAAGCTGCCAGGTCCAGGTTTTGAACCACGGAGCTGGCCATGTGGGAATCTAGCACAGCAGGCCACCTGCTGGCCCCTAGTTGAAGCTTTTTACTGCAGCAAATTACCCTTACACATAGCTCCGTCCTATTGGTAGTGTCCTTGAGGTTAACTAATAAAATACCTTAAATACTAACTTTTTTTTTTTCCGAGGGCGCATGTGCTCACCAGTAAGACAAAGAGAGACAGAGAGATAGAAAGTGAGAAATCACCCCCCAGGGGAATGGCCACGCTGCAATCCCTTCTCCTCTATTCTCCTCTTGGGATCTTGGGCACACACTCACACGCGCCTGGCATGAATTTAACCCACCGGGTCCAGCACTCAACCCGCGGTCGACTACATGGGGGTCCGGTGACATAGCCATTACGCCAACTGCTGGTCCCAAATACCAACCTTTTGAGGGAAAGTATACATCTGTGAGTCCCTTGGTCAGGAGCTGAAGTCAGACTCGCAGGACACATCGTTTTATCGGGTCAGCTCTGTGGGAGAGAGAAATGCCTTTTTAGTGTTGAGGTCGCGTTTCCATTTTCTCTAACCGTGGCTTCATCTTGGCTGCCTTTTCCGCAGAGGAAGATAGACTCGTACGACCCTGTTTCTTGTCTCACGTTGGCTTTGTCCCTGGATCAAGTCTCTCGTGTCTGTGCATGAAGCGTCGGGCTGTCGGAAACGCCGTGATGCGTTTCTGCATGTAAAAACGTAGCGACATAGGTGACCTTTCCGACAGCCAGTGTTGTAATTCACACTGACACGCAGGTGAGCCTCTGTGGCTGACTCCAGCCGTGCCTCTCCTTGTCGGTGACACACAGTACTGTATCTCGGCATTTTCCTCTGCGGCTCATGGTGCCTTGCTAGACCGACTGGGTCACATCCATCAAGTGTGTTTGTGATTGTTCTCTGTACACGTAGAGACAACACGCACTCTGAT